ATTAATCAAAATAGCTTAAAGGAATTCTTGAAATGTTTTTTTTTTTGTCAAATGTGTTCATTTTTATTTTTTTTATTTTTTTTTAAAAAAAAATTTCAGAAAATATATTTTTAATATAAAAAAAAAAAGGTTTATTTATTTATTTATATTAGTGTATGTATATTTTAGTTTTTTTATAAAAAAAATATTTAAATAAGTTTTTTATATTTTTTTTTTAAAAAAAAAAATTCGAAATTTTTATTTAATTTAAAATTTAATTAAATTTAATTTATTTAATTTTATATTATATTATAATTTTATAATAATATTAATATTTTCTTTGATAATTTTTATAGTTTTTATATAAAATATCTTATTAATAATATGTTTTATCTCATTTTTATATTAATTGATTTATAATCTAATATAATAACGAATATATAAAAAATATCTTATAATATATATAAATATATATATATATATATATATATATATATATTTATATTTATATTTATATTTATATTTATATTATAAATTTGATTTATATATTTAAAATATTAATTTTTTATATTTATAAAACATTATTTTTTTTTTAAAAAAAAAAAAAATAGAATACACATCAAAAAAATATAAAGCCAAAAAAAAAAAAAAAAACTATTTAATTATTTTACATAATTATTTATAATATATATATTTATTCAAAAAAAAAAATCATTCATATAAAAAAAAGTTTATATATTACAATTCATTATATAAATTTAATCCTAAAAAATCAAAATCCAAAAGAAATAAAATTCAATATTAAATAAAAAAAACATGGAATAACTTGAACAATAATTAAACTAAGGAGATTGCAAATTTTAAAATTTTTCAACATATTTTATACCTAAAAAATAATTAGGTTAAGGTTCATTTGGAAAAGTAATACAAGTTTTAGATATAAGCAGTTAAGAGGAAATAGCAGTAAAGGTACTTTATATGTTTTTTTTTTTTTTTTTTAAAAAAGAAAAAAAAACAAAAAAACAAAAAAAAAAAATAATAAAAAAAACGAATAGAATAATAAAATAAATAAAAACAGATAATAAATAAAAAACGCATGTCAGAATAAAGCATATAAAAAATCAAACAAGAAGCTTTAATTTTACACAGACTAAATCATCCAAACATAGTCAAATTTAAAAAATTGGTAGAAACAAATTCAAAAATACTTATTGGAATGGAACTTGCAAAAGGAGGTTCTTTACAAGAACTTATTATGAATAGGAAAAAATTAAACTTAAATTTTAGTTAAAGTGAGGCCTCGCATATTTTTAAATCTATAATAGAAGGATTAGCTTATATACATTCATAAAATATTGTACATAGAGATTTAAAACCAGGTTTTTTTTTTTTAAAAAAAAAATTATATATGTAAATGTATATGTAATATATATATATATATATATATATATATATATATATATATATATATATATATATATATATTTATATATATATATAATATAAAAATTATATATATTAAATTTGTGTATTTTTTTATTTTTTTAACAAAATTAATAAAAAATAGAAAATATACTTATTGATAATATTAATGACTTTTAAACTATAAAAATTGCAGACTTCGGACTAAGTTAAGCTTTTTCGTTTTGGAGCTCGAGTATGTTAACTAAATAATGTGGTACTTTATTATATATGGCACCTGAGTTTTTTACAAGTTATGCTTATTCAAAATAGATAGATTTGTGGAGCTGTGGAATTATATTATATAATTTACTTGATAGTGGAAATCATCCATTTTATGATAGTATGAAAGACAGTTCTGAAAGTTTTAAGAATAAATTGATATAAAAAAAATAGATAAAATACCCCGAATATTTAAATAAAATTTCAATAAATTTATTAGAAAAGCTACTTGCTTTAAATCCTTCTGAAAGATACTCTGCAATACAAGTTTTATAACATCCCTTTACTACAAGAAGATTAAATGATGAAATTCCAATGACCTTTAATGAAAAAATTATTCGTATTTAAAATATGGAAAATTTGTTAGATAAAATAAAGGTATTGATTTTTTTGTAATTTTTAATTAAAAAATGTGTTAAAAATGAGAATAGAATTATGACAATTTAAAAATTTAAAAATCAAGAAATTCTTTTTTCAGATGATGAAAATAGCTTCGAGTACATTTAAAATAATCACAATATTATGTATTAATAAGGAGGAGGGATTTTAGCCAGAAATAAAATCCCTTTGAGATGTAATTAGACTATATATAGAAAATAGTCATTGATTGCTTAAAAAGATACTTCAAGAGGAAATAATTTACCGAAAATATAATTTTAAGATAGATATATTTAAAGTTTAAATTAAATAGCAGTTGAAAATATGAATAAAGTATTTTTTTTTTTTTCGATTTATTTTATTTTATTTATATTTTAAGGAAAAATAAGCTGTTGAAAAAGGACTTATGAAAAGGTATTTAATGAATACTAAGTCGAGATAATATAATATAAATAGTAAAAATTATTTTAAATGAACTTTTTTCAATTGATTATTATTTTAATTATATGCATTTTTTATTTTATTTTATTTTACTTTTTTTTTTTTATTTTATCCAAAAAAAAAAAATTAATTTATTATGTTTTAATTTTTTAAAAAATTATGAATTTTTTTTTTTATGTATAAAAAAATATCATATATAATAAATATAAACAAAAATATATAATTACAAATTATTATTTTTATATAAAAAAAATAAAAAAACTAAAGAAAAAAACATCAAAAAATAATGATGATGATGTAAAGAAATCAACTATAAGCCACTACCCCATTTCTAATATATTAAAAATAGAAAAATACAATTAAAAACCAAATGTATTAAGCAATAAAAGCAAACGATATATAAAAAGTAAAAGACATAATAATAGCCTAAGATATAGATCCAAATGAAGAAATTTCCGAAGCAGGACATTATTGGACTGCATTACATTATGCGTGTCATTTTAAAGCACCGAATATTTTAGAATTATTAATATTATTAGCATATGATAAGAATCCAATATATTTTAAAGACATAATGAATATATAAACAAGTGAAGGATGGACTCCTTTGATAGTTTCTACTATTTATAAATCACATGAATGTGTGAATATATTATTAAATTATGGGGGTGTAGAAATGAATATTAGAGATTATAAATAAATGAATGCATATATGATTAGTGAGAGGTAAAATACAATATAAATAACAGAGTTGTTAAGATTATAATACATAAAACTTAATAATTTATCATTCATACCAATAAATCTAAATTATTTAAAGAATAATTTATCTAAAAAATTAGGGAATTTATAAAAAAGCGCATAAAATAAACCCGAAAATGATATGAGTGAAGAAACTAAAATTAAATATAAAAAATTACTAGAAGATGGTTATAGAATACCTTGTGTTATTTGTTGCGTTAATTTAGGATATATAAAATATACATCATGTTGTGGATAGCCTATGCATGGTCATTGCTAAACAGAAAAAATATAAAATTGCCCATTTTGTAGAGATGAAAAATATAAACTTATTACAGAAGTTCTATATCCGGATAGAGCTTTTACTCTGGAGAAATTAGATTGATATAAATTGTTTAATTATTTTTATTTGAAAAAAAAAAAAAATTATATTAAATAGAAAAGAATTAAAATTTTTATATACAAGTTTATTTTATTTTTTTAATTATATTATAAAAATATATTTTAATTATGTTTTATATATTTAAAAATATAAAATATTTTATGTATATGAAAAAAAATATATATATATATTTATTTATTTATAAATAAATATTTATATATATATATTTAAATAAATAAATATTTATTTATTATATCAGTATATATATATTTAATTTTTATCTTTATTTTTTTATATTTATAAATATATATATTTTATTTTATAAATAAATTATAATTTAGTTTTTTATACATTCTATATTATGGAATAAATATATATTATTTTAAATAATTTTTTTTTATATATATTATAAATTCTTTATTATGAATAAAATTATATTTCTATTAGAATTTTCTAAGTTTTTTTAAAATTATTAAAATAATAATGTCTATATATTATAGATAATATATATTTTTTTCATAAATTTATAAAAAGCTTTCATTATTTTAAAAATATATAATATTTTTTATAATGTTTTATTTAAGTTTTTTTCTCATATTTAATTAATTCAGATAAAAGATTATATAATATAAATTTGAACTAATAAGGCTATAATATAATATATAAATTTTTAACTAAATTTATTTTTAAATGATTTTTATTTAAAATTATAGATATCATATGAACAAAAAATAAATTTGGTTTTAAGAAATAATTTCTATGAATTTATATAGAAATTTTTTATTAGTATATCAATTTTTTGAATTTATATAAAAAAGAATTGTTAAGTATATTGTTGTATAAATAAATAATGAAAAAAAAAAAAAAAATATAAGTTATATGTATTTGTATAAATATAGATGAATATATTTTTTCTTTGATTATTAAGGTGTTTTTTAAGGATATAAAAGAAAATTTTCACTTAAATAATAAATCAAATATTTTAAAATATTCATAAATGAACTTTTTTAAAAAATATATATAAATATAAATTAATAATAATATTAATATTTTTTATATATATATATAAATTTATATATATATATATAAATAAAATTATTTATTTATATTTTTTTATTTATATATATCTATAATTTTTTTTTTATTTAACTTTAATGTGTTAAATATCTTTAAGAATACTTTATCACACATATAGAATTAATAAAAAAAAATTAGTAAATATTAGTAAAAATTATGAAATATAAAATTGCACATTAAATTATTCCTTATAATATTAATACATTTTATATAAACTATGTATTTAATCATAAATATTATTTTGTAAAATATTTAATTAATTTTTTAACATTCGATTAAATACAAATAAAAATTTCTTTATTTTAGTTTAAATAATATATATATATTTTTTTTTTAATGAATTGCTTAAATATATAAATTTTCATTGTGAATTTACGATTATTGGCTATAATTTTAAAATTATAATATACGAATATTGCAGTTAAATAAATTATATTATCTAAATATCTAAATATTAAAGAATTAAATGTAATCATATATAAATAAAAAAAAAAAAAAAAGAATATTTTTATACTTTTTCTCTTGTGTTGATATATTACTAATTAATTATTTAAATTTATTTAGTTAATAACAAAAAAAAATTATAAATTTTATTTTAATATAAAAAAAAAATTCTTTTATAGTGGTATAAATAAATATATAAATAAATAAAAATAAAAAAATATAAATATAAAGTATATATAATTATATATTTAAAAATATATAAAATATATATATTATTATATTTAAATATTTCATTAATATATTTTAAATAAAAAAAAAATATTAAATTTTTCAAAATTAATTTTTTATTTTAACATAATTATAAAACTATAAACAAACATGCGAGATAAATATTAAATATAATTAAAAATTATAAATAATAAATACATTATTCAAAAAAAAAAAAATTTTATTATTAAAGTCATGATTTGCATTTATTGAACTCTTCTTAATCTATTTTAGCTTATTAAATATTTTATTATAATTGTATTTTTTCTTATTCGTTTAGGGCATTTGATAAATAAGCATAAAATTAAGGATTTTATTTAGAAATTTTAATCATTTATTATTCTAAATATAAAATTTCATCAAATTAATCTAAAGGACAATTATAACTACAATAAAAAAAATAATATATAAAAAATATATAAATTTTTAAAATATAATAGATATATATATAAATAAATATGTATATATATATATATATATATATTAATATATATATATTTATATTTATTTTATATATTTTATATAATAATTAATTACTTTTCATTATATTAATATCTATCTTAAAAATCAAAATCTATATCATCGTTTTCTTCTTCTTAACTATCCTATTCATTTACATTTATTTCATTTCTATTTTATTTTTATTTTAATAAATTCGTATTATTATTATTATTATTATTATTATTATTATTATTATTATTATTATTATTAATTTTATCTTCATCTTCATCATCACTTTCAAACTCATTTTCATATCTAATTTCTATTATTTTAGTACTTAAATTTACACATTCTTTAATCAATATATCTCCTAAAGAATTCAATTCAGGTAAATCTTAACAATGTCCAAGTATAGAAGAAAAAGCAAGCAATAATCTTTATTTATTAAATTCTGTTTTGAAATATTTTAATAAAGAAAAGATTTTTTAAAATAATTGATTTATTATATTATTTCCAAATGTATTTAATACTATTATTGTTTCTTATACATTATAAAAAAAGCATAATGATAATGTGTCTAGATTTGCTACTTGTATTTCAATAGGTAGTTTATTTATATTTAAATTTTATATAGTTACTTATATTATTTATTTGAATATATTTCCAGATATTTTTTAATCAGCTACATGGTTTTCTACAAGACAATATAATAAAGAAACTATATTCTTTGTTTCATCAAGTATATCTTCGTCGTTTTATTCATCTTCATTTTCAGTTAATTTTATATATATTTATTTTATTAACTCAAACATTAAATCTATAAAGCTTGTATTGAAAAAATCAACGGCAGAAAGAAAATATTCACCTCCTTTTTATATGAAATTCTTTAAAATACTTAGAATATCACATAAGTATTCTTCACCCCATCCAGATATAGAATTTTAAAGTAAATTCAATTATGCTTAAGAAATTTTGCCTTCAAATTGTTTAAGATCTACATTATCTTTACCGATTAACATATAAATTAAAATAGGATAATAAAACCACAATTAAGAATTTTAAGAAATAACATTATTTTTAAAAGATAATAACTATAATAAATTTAATGCTTCATCTAAAAAATCACAATAATCATCAGAAAGACAACTATTAATAATAGGCAGGATTAACTATAAATAAATAAATATATATAAAATATATATATATATATATATATATATATATATATATTTTACTTATTCTATGTTTTATAATAAATCTTAAGATATATGTGATTGTAATATTTTAGATATAGTTGCTAAACATTCACTTGCTGCTTAACTACTTTCTCCATCATTATCTTAGTTTTTATTTTTTATTTTATTAAAATTTATTACTAGATTATTGCAAAGATCATATGCAAAAGGACCTATTGAATCTTGGTATTATTCTACTATACCCTCTAATGAAGATACAAGATCTTCACTGTCTATTTCTTCGATTACTTTAAGGTATATTTATAGTACTTACTATAAATGATTTTTTATAAGTTAATGAGCTTCTTTTTATTAAATAATCAAACTTAGTGCCAATGATGCTTTAAATCTTATTACTAAATTTGAGTCTTTCATACTTTGAGTGATTCCCATGACTGCATTAATGATATTTTAGTTATTTTTATATTCTATATTTCCGTATTTTCCTAATATTTAGCAACATCTTGCTTTTATAATTCCATGAGTATTTACGTTTAGTAATTCTGGTATAATATTTTTCTAAAAGAATGCTTCAATTTAATTTTTCGTATTTGGCTTGGTAAGAACAACCTCATTTAAGTATATTAAAGCGAAATAAATTCCATCTTTTACTTCTAAAGTTATGTTTTACGATGTGTTTTTTGGGTTTTATCCTGTTTCGATATATTATGTACAATAAAGGAAGAATTCCTCGAAAGTTCTATAATCTAAGAATTCATTTTATAACAAAGATATCAAGAAATCAGCAGCTACGACTTTATTATTGCGAAAAGTAGTGCAACCAAGAAAATCGTCCTCTTATCTAATAAATTCATGGGGGTCATTTTGGAAAAGAGAAATGTCCTTTTAAGAAAGGAGAAGTAAAGGAAATATACTGTTGTATATTATATTGGATATATGAGGCCTTATTTTAGCAAAAAGAAGCTCATTTTTGGTACATTTAATGATGTATTTCATTGCAAAATGGAGACATGAAGTTCCTACGAATTATTTTTGGGAAATAAAGAGATAGTTTAGGAATGAATCGAGAAATATAGGCAAAAAGTTGTCTTTTAAATATATTACTAAGGCTTATATTTCTTTTTCTATGAGAATATTATTAATCGCATATCTTAGTTCGATTTTGACTATTATACGGCTGGCCCATTTTTTGTTTTTCCAAAGAGGATGTTTGTCCCTTTATTGGATTATTTCATCATCTTTAGTGTATTCTTGGAGGTTTTAAGGCACTTCGGAATCTATTAGAAGCTTAAAAAAATTCAACCATTAGCCTAATAATTCGAAAGGTTAGTATATACAAGTGGGAAGGTCTAAACTTATACACATATAAAAGGATTTAAGAATAGGTTTTAGGAGATATGCATTCTCCGGGGAGTAGACTTGCATTAATTTGGCTATTAAAACTTGGTAAATAAAGAATACTTGGGGTATTATAATATCTAAAATTTTCCTTTTTTCACTTGTTTCGAATTGGAGAGTGTTGAAAACTTACTATAGAGTCATTAGACAGCCGTAAATATCATTTTCGGTTGTACTTATGGATAATTTAGTGAGGGTCTAGTCAACTAATGAAGGCCAGTGTTCGGGATAGTCATACTTGCAAACATCGTAGATTATTTTAGTGTATATTTTAATTAATTTAGGGTTTTGTGATGATCGTATTTGTGCGTCAAGGAGGTTTTCGCGGACTATATTTTTATCTTCTTCGGAAAAAAAAAATTAAAGAGGAGCCTTTTGTTCGGAGGTTTTAGGCCTTTTCCAGTATTTGTTTATGGTGGTTTTTATGTTGGCAATGGCAAATTGACGATGATCAATTTCTAGTTGATTGTTGTCCCCAATCATCATTAGTTTTTGGAGATATTGGGGCTCTTTGACTGCTTATTCTAATATGGATTGGCCTTGGTCGATTTCTTGTTGATTTTGGGGGTTTACGCATAATTTTATGGCGTTTAGTATGGTTGTGTCTATGTTCATTTTTTTTTTTTTTATTTTCTTTATATATATATATATGTATTTTTATTTATTTATTTATTTTGGTTTTTTTTTTATATTTTCTAGGAAATAATATATATATTAATTATTTTTTATGGTTTTTTTAATATAATAATAAATAATTTGATTGAGGTTAAATTTAATATATTATATAATGTTTTCTTTGTTTTGATTTATTAGATTATATATATATTTTATTTTTTTATTTAGATGAAATAAATTTTAGTCTACTTTATATTCTTTTTATTTTTTTATTTCCTAAAATAATTTTTTTTTATATTTTATAAATAAAATATATAATTTTTTTTTCATTTAGCTAAAATTTATTTATTAAAAAAAAGATATATAAATTTATATATATATAAAATTATAATTTATATTGCTAAAAAAAATATAAATTTATTAATTAAAATATAAAAATAATTAATAAATAAAATTTTAATTAGAAATAAATTTTTATAATATAGTTTAATAATATTATTTTCATATTTAAAATGTATTTATTATATATTATTTTAAATTTAAATATATTTATATAAAAATGAAAATAATTTTATTTAGATTGAACAATATACATATAAATAAATTAATATTAAAATTAAATAAATTTAAAATTATAATTTTTTTTTTTTTTTAAAAAATAAATAAATAATAATTTTTTTATTTATAAAAAATTAATTAATTATATATATAAATAAATATATGTATATATATATATATTTATATATTTATATATATATATATCTATATATTTATATATATATAGATATGTATATATTTATATTATCTATTTATTTATACGAATTTGTAAATATAATAGATATAATTTAAATTTATTATATATATATTATATAAATGAATAATTCAATATATTCTTAATCAACTGAAAGTGATTAATTATCTTTTTAAGAAGAAGAAGAAATTCAAATTGAAGAAATAAATTTTCATTTAAAAACTCTTTAATTAATCAAGCTAAGATATTCAAAGAATTAAATGATAAATTTCATTCTAAATTTAACTCCTCGGCAGTCTCTGAATATTTTCTTTTGTCAAATTAATGGTTTAAAAAATGGCAAAAATATGTTTCTTATTAAAATATAATAACAAATAAACCCTATGACATTAAATATTTTGGTAAAATTTAAATCGAAGAGGCAAATGAAGATTTAATTTATAAAAAAATATTTGATTCGGATGATTATTATCCTACAGAAGATCCCGAAGATGGTGAAAATATAATCCTAAAGCCATATTTAAAGGAAAACATAGACTATATTATAATCGATTATTAAATACTATAATTTTTTTAAAAAAATCATTACAAAGTAATAAATATTCCACGAAAATCCTTAAAAAAGGCGAAATAAAAAATTGTAGAAATATACTACAAACAAGTAAATAAATGAAAAATATATAAAAGATATGAAAAAATAAAATAAAAAAAATATAAAAAATAAAAATAAAATATAATAAAAAAAATATAGATTTAAATAATTTTCCTAAACTAAGAAAAAATCGAAAAAATCCTAAAAGAAGAAACAATATAACTACAAATAAAAAAAAGATGATTTTTTCCGGAGAAACAATTGACGACTTTAAATTTAATTTACTCCCTATTCTAAAAAAAGCCTAAATTTTTTAATTAAATGTAAATAACCTAAAACTCTGGAAATTATAAACTGAAAAATTCCCTATATAAAAAATGTGCGAATTTTTAATATAATAATATCCCGAATACTAAAAAGACCCTCAAAAATATAAATTATAAGTCCCTTTAATATCTTTAGAAAATAGTCCAGATTAAACCATTGAAGAATTATAAATAGATGAATAAAATGAAATATTAATAATCGAAATTTAACGTAATAAATAAAACTGGCTTTTCAAAATAGAAAACGAAGAAGACTAAAATGAAATTTAATGCAATTTTTGTAGGCATTATAAAATTTTAAAATATGATTGTACATGTAAAAAAGTCAAATATTGTTCTGAAACTTGCAAACTAAAAGACTTTTCTTATCATATAAAAATTTGTGATAATGAAGATAGTCGAAATAATACAGATGATGATATAGAAGAAGTAGAAAGTCCTTTTTTACATAATGATAATATTTTCTAGTTTAAATAAAATGCTGCTAAAGGAATTTGCGGTTTAGTTAATTTAGGAAATACTTGTTTTATGAATAGTGCTTTATAATGCTTAAGTAATACGAAAATTCTTACTTAATTTTTCTTTAATAAAACATATAAATAAGAAATTAATCATACTAATCCGTTGGGTACATAAGGAAAATTAGCTAAAAAATATTCACAATTATTAAAAGCTTTATGGATTAAAAAAAGCAAGATTTTTAATCCAATAGGAATAAAATTAGTTATATCAGATCTATAATACATGTTTAGTGGAAATTAATAACATGATTCATAAGTATTTAATATATTTATAAAAATATAAATATATAAATATATATATATATATATATATATATATTTATATATATATATATATATATATAAATTTTTTTTATATATATATATATAGATAAATATTTTTTATATTTTTTAATAAGGAATTTTTATCTTTTATTTTAGATGGATTACATGAGGATTTAAATAGAGTTAAAAATAAAGTTAATACATATCCAATTAATTCAGATGGTAGAAACGATAATATAGTATCGTTTGAATTCTGGTTAAATCATATAAAAAGAAATTAGAGTATTATTGTAGATTTGATGTAAGGCTAATTTAAATCTAAAGTCACATGCCCTTAATGTATGTACGAGTCAGTCACATTCGATCCTTTTTTATCTTGTTCTTTACCTATTCCTTATAAAAATATAAAGTTTATAAGTATACATATCCTTTTTGCAAATAATAGACAGTTTTCATGTGAAGATAAATACTATTATGATGCTTAATAAAATGAAAAAGTTGAAAATTTAATTGATTTTATAAGCAGAAAATATAAATTATTAAAAGAAAATCTATTATTTTGTTGTTTAACGTAATATATATATAAATATAAAAATAAATATAAGTATATATATATATATATATATATATTATAATATATTATATCTTAAATAAAAAGTTTTTCTTAATTAAATAAAATATATTCTTTAAATAAACCTTTATAAGAAATAAGAAAAATGTAAAAATATATAAATTAAAAATCTGTTCTAATTGAATTTCCTTCTAATATATCATCTTTAAACAATATAATTTTACCTTTAGAATTTAATAAATATAAAGACGAAAATTTATATATTGGTAGAAATATTAAATAATCTCTCACTTATGTTCATCCTTTTGTTGTTAATTAAAACGATAACCTTAAATAAATTCATTTATAGATATTTTAATTCTTAAAGTCTTTAATTTTATAAACTAATGAATAAAATATATCCTTGCAAAAACTTTACGAAAAAACTATTTTAAATTAATGTGATGAAAAAAGACCATATAGAATTTTAATTTATACTAATCCTAAAGATTTATAATTTAAAAGATGTTTGTATATAAAAAATAAATATTATTTTATATATATAAAAAAAAAGCTGGTGTGATTAAGAATAATGTAATAATTGTGAATTAAAATATGATGAAAATTAAACTATTTAATAATTATTAGAAAAGAATATTGATAAATCTCATATATTTAAACTTGAAATATTTTTTAATAGTGTTTGTGCTGATAAATTTAGTAAAATTAATATAATAAAAAAGCCTAATTAAGATTAAATTGAAAACTAAATATAACATGAATAGGAAAAAATAAAATAAGAAACCGAAGTTAATATATATGATTGTTTAAAATTATTTGAATAACCTGAAAAGCTGTAAAAAAATAATGAATGGTACTGCCATATGTGCCAAAAATTCTAAAAAGCAACCAAATAAATGACTATATATAGAGCTCCAGATATATTAATATTCCATTTAAAAAGATTTAAAACATCTGCTGGGACTATAAAGAGTAAAATAACAAAATTAATTGATTTTCCATTAAAAAATTTAAATATGACTCCTTATGTCATAGAAAAAGAATCTCCTTATGTAAATTATTAAAACTAATAAAGTTAAGAATAAAATTTATTTTAAAAATCTTCATTTACTCTATATGATTAATATGATAAAGAAAATCTTATATATGATTTATATGCAGTAACAAATCATTATGGAAGCTTAGGGTTTGGACATTATACAGCTTATGCTAAAAATGAAGGATTTTGGTATAGATTTGACGATTCTAATGTTGAAAAAATAAATAATTCTATTATATGTAGTGAAGAATCATATATATTATTTTATGAAAGATAGAAAAAATGAAAAAAAAAAATCAAAATCAAAATAAATAAATATATATTTAAATATATATATATATATATATATATATATATATATATATATATTTATATATATATATTTATATTTATATTTTATATAATTATCTTATATTTTTAATCTTTTTCATTTAACTTTTTATATTTAAATTTTATATTATTATATTTTTTTTTCCATTTAATTGTTTTAATTTTAATATTTAATACCATATTAACATTTTTTTTATAATTTTTTTTTTCAATATAATCTATATTTTTTTAATTTTTTTTTAAATTAAATTTTAAATTTTATTATTTTTTTTATTAAAATTTTAAAAATTATATATTTTTTTATTTACATGAAATTTATAATTAAATAATTATAAAGATTAACTAAAAATCCAATTAGAAACTTTTCTTATATATTTTACATATATTTGCATAAGAAATATTATTATTATGACTATAAATAATCATATTTTTAATTTTTAATATATTTTTTTTTAAAAAAATCATTAATTTTTTTGCTTTATTTTATTTTCATATACTCTTTTTTATTTTATTAATTATATTTCAAAAGAAAATAATAAGACCTATATATAAATATTTTATATTTTCATATTTTTTACATTTATATTATTTACTATATTTAATTCTAAAACCTTAAGAATTTTTCTTTATATTTTATTTATTTCAAATTAAAATTCTTACAAAATCTTATAACAATAATTAAAAATGTATTTTATAAATTTTTATACATAAGCTTTATATATTTTATTTTTCTAATTATTTATAAACAAAATTTATTAAATTAGTATCAATATTTAATATAAAAGTATATAAAAAATTAATATTGAAGGAAAAAATCAATTTTGCAAATAAAAAATAGTTTATTAATTTTTGAACCCTTAAATAATATTTTTTTATATATATACCAAAATGTTTTTAGTTTTACAAAATATGTATTTAAATCCAAAAGCTCATTTTCAATTAAAATATAATTAGTAAATTAAAAAATATAGATAATTTATTAGACTTAACTTACAATATTAATTTATCAATACTAAAGACTAAATTTTATATAATATAAGATAAAACAGGTTATTACTATTATTTAGGCAAAAAATATATTCGAAATTACATTACAAAATGACCTTTGAAATTTTTAAATTATTTTATGTTTTTTTAATTTTATATCTAAAAAATAGAATGACAAAAAATTAAAAAAAAAAAATTAAAGAAAAATAAAAATTAAGAAAAAATAATAATAATAATAATACTAAATAAATTTTAAAATATGAATATTTATATTATTTAAATTAAATTTAAAAATTAATTAATAAAAATCTAGTTATAAGTACTTTTTTTGAGGATTAAACTAATTTCTAATTTTTTCCACTATAATTAAATAAATTCAGGCATTTTTTTATTTTAATGATTATTATCTAAATAGGCAATTCTAATTTAAAATATAATAAACGGAAAAGAATTTTTAACTTTAATAAAATGAAATTAAATAAATATCCTCTATTAAATATAAATATTATCTAACTTTTTTTACTTTACTTATTATAAAAAAATAACTAAATCTATAATATTTTTATATAAAATAATTATAAAGAGTATATATCTATATTAATTTTTAATATAATAAAAATATCAAATAATAATTCTGGTCTTTTCTATCTCAAAAAAATCTCCTTTAAATTATCATTTTTAAAAATAAAAAATTAAAAAAACGACAACATCAAATGCATTTTCAAATAAAAAGAAAATTTCAAAAATTATATATAAATTAAAATTTAAATCAATAATAGAAATTTATCAAATATACATTATTAAAAGAAGTCGAAAAATGAAAATTTAATTAATTTTATCCAGTTAAATAAATAAAAATATTTTTTATATACTTTGATTTTTATAAAAATTATAAAAACTCTCAATACCTCAATACAGATATTAATAAATTTACATTATAAAATAAAATGCTATATTATTTTATTTATTTTGGATTAATATATAAATATATATATGCATAATTTTATATTTTTAAAAATATAAAAATATATATTTTTCTTCTACTTTTATTTTAATATGAAAAATAGGATAATAATTTTCACAAAAAGATACAATATCAAAATCTCCAATAAAAATAAATCTTAAATAATTATTTCTTAAAAAATTCAAATATGTTTTTATTCTTCTTTTTTATATAAATAAATTTTTTTTTGAATATTATGTACAAATTTTTTAAAAGGATGCATTTTAAGTAAAAAGTTGATTTTTTAAAATATAATCATAAAAAAAAAAAAATATATAAAAAAGAAATAAAATTATAAAGTTTTTATTTTAATTATTATACTTGTTATTCATATATATATAAATTTTCAGACAATAAAAAAATTCATTTAATTATTTAGAAATAAAAATACTATTAATAATAATAATAATGAATAATGAAAATATATAAAAAAAACTATATTATGTAAGAAATAAGAATTAAAACTTAATAAAAACATTCAAAAATATAAAAAATAATATAGTTAAAGAAATAAAAAAAAA